AGCAGCAGCACAGCAGCAGCACAGCAGCAGCACAGCAGCAGCACAGCAGCAGCACAGCAGCAGCACAGCAGCAGCAGTGACGCCACGGGACCAAGAACACAGCTTTCAGTAAACGTCATTGTTCCATCAAATGCGCGTTTCTTCAAAAACTTTGTGTCTGCGGTATTCCTGCAGGACGTCCCGTGGCGGCGGACGGCGGCGGGCTGCCCCCACGCACGTCCACGCACCTCACTGCACGTGTGCGAGACGCCGACCGACCAAGGCCGGCGCGGCAGTGCCGCTGCGCTGTGGGCCACGCCACTAGAGAGGCCAGTGGGGCATTGAAGGGAAGGGCTATATACACCGCGGAATTTTGGGGCTGCGACAACTCAGGGACAACGGGCGAGTAAAACTATACACTGCACTGACCGCGCACACCTCGCTCCTCCCCTCCCCCCAATAAAAATAAAACCGAGTGAAAAGTTTGGCGTGCCGTCGTGTGTGGGAGGTGGGTGGTGACGGTCGTGTGCACGGAGCGGATGCTCGCCTAAAAAGGCCCGGCGAGCAGCCATTAACACCTCGGACGGCGACCCGGTGCCCCTCATTGTGTAAGCTCGGACAACAAGCGCTGCTCTCCGCAAACCTCCCGACGAAATGTGTTTGTGTGGTGTGCATTTCAGCGAGTGGCGACTACTATTTTGCCACATGAGCTTCTCCAGGCAGGAGCTAAAACGGCGGCGCCTTCGTCATCCTCTTGGGACGAACGCTGCGCGGCTGGCGCGCGGGGAGTACCCGCAGCGCGCGCCGGCAGGTAGGCAACAACGGTGGGCCGCGCGCACCGATGCGTCCGGGTTGCCTACCTCAGGCTCCTCGGGCGGCCCCAGCAGGCAGACAGGCCTCAGGTAGCTGCGCGCGCCGGCAGGTAGGCACGGACCGCGCCCCGCGCGCACCGGTGCAATCGGGTTGCCTACCTCAGGTTCCTCAGGCGGCCCGGCGGGCAGACGGACAGGTGTCAGGTCATGGCTAGGTACCTGCTGCGCGCGCCGGCAGGTAGGCAACGACCGCGTCCCGCACGCACCGGTGCGATCGGGTTGCCTACCCCAGGCTCCTCGGGCGGTCCCGGCGGGTAAACAAGCCGTCGGCACGGCCCGAGGCCGGCCCTGGCCCCGACGAGACACACCCTGCGCTTCTGTTTACGCCCCAAGCGCCGGCCCTTACTGCCGCCCTCTAGCAAGCGGTACACGCGAATTACGTCACATTTATAGGAGATGGGTTTGTTTTTGTTTTGTGGCACGCCCCTTTTAGAACACATCGTGTCGGGGTTTGTGATTGGACGTCTGTTGGGAGGCAACGATATCCATGTGACACTGAGCTAGAGAAAGGAAATCGTCTAAGAGACAGTTGGTCGTTTTGCCGAGGTGACTACCAAAGTGGCCGCGGCATGACGGCGTCGTCGTCACGCGACCGTCGCCACCTCGCAGATGTCGCACTCACCGTTGAGCGCCCTGCCCCGGCCGGGCCCGCGGATGCCGTAGGGCCCGGCGGGGGGCTTGGGCAGCACGTCGCCCGGGTAGTAGTAGTTGCGCCGGCCGCTGCCGCCGCGGTGCTCGAGCCGCGGGGGAGCGTAGCCGTGGGCGCGGAAGAGGGCGCGCACCCTCTCCAGCATGTTGCCGAACATCCCGCAGTCCTCGCACACCATCAAGCTCCGGCACGGGTCGGCCTTGGCGTCCTGGGCCAGCAGCCGGCCAGAGCGAGCCTCGTCTCGGATTTGAGCCGCGCGTCTCGTCCACAACCAAACTGAACAGCGCCGCGCGCGCGCTGGCTCAGCTTCGGCTCAGCAGTCTCTCTCTCCCTCTCTGCGTCCCACTCGGCATTATGCGCCCCCGCTACGCCCCGCCCCGCCAGAGTCGCTGCTGGGCGACAGAGCCTCCTCCCACGGGAACATAGCGCACTCCCCTGAAACTGTCGCTCCCCGAGTCTTGATGTTCAATGTTCGAAATTCCCGCGAAATGTTGTACCACATACCGATCCGTCCCTCAGGTGCATCATGTCACGTAGCGCTCACGTCGAACGGGATTGTGTAGAGGATGGAGAGGATACAAACATTCCAGGAGGATCAATTTTTGAGGACAAATCCTCAGCAGCATAATTTATTTCACATAGTATTTTATTTTGTGCGGACAGTCTACTGCTCAAAACTGCGGCTAACCCCGCTGCCTACTTTGCAGCAATGGACAGGTGTAACAACGTACAGTGTGGAATCATTTGTAAGACCAATACAATTTCTTTCGCTTTGTAATGCAGTGTTTTAACACAAGATACAATTAGAGACATTGAATAATTTGCATACAAATTTTTATGAAAAGACAGTCTCATATAAATTATATATAGAAGAAGAAGCACATCAATTAAAGAACCTATGGTTCTCTATCGACATCAAAGCCATCTAAAATGATATAAACTTGTAAAAGTGACAAAGCAATTCAATACAAAAGATTTTATACATTTTCAGAAAAGAACATTAGTTATTGGTTGAAAGACAGTTACTATCAAGTATGTAGTAAGAGCCAAAGAAGGCCCATCCCACAACACAAGTTGACTTACATTTGTAAAAAACAAAAAACAAAAACAAAAGAAACAGAATTGAATTACGAGAATGCATTTTCTACCTCAAAGGTTCCTCTTTCTTTTCTTGGTCAATGATAGACGAGTCTGGAGACATTTCAGGGGGCACTGTTGAAGTACCTACACAATACAAGTGAAAGTAAGAACAAAAATTTAGTTTCTATTTGAAAATTTATAAA